TAATAGTGTCAATTGTGTTTATACGACGTGTGTTTTCTTCCTTCGCTAAAAAAATATAGTAAAATTTGCAGTGTAGTGTTGTTGTATGTGGTTCATCCTGAATTTGTAAATATTATAGAATGTAATTTATTGAAGTTGAAGATGTTCAGCGAAACCTAACGTAATACTACTGTCGAGTTCTTACTACTTATTCTACTGTGGAACCTTTCATTCCCAAGTTAATGAACGACTGTAATATTATAAAAGTCTGTGCCTATGAGTCCTCTCCTGAACATGCATTTCACACTGATGGAGAAAGTATTTTTGCTTTTTATATTCATGCCAATGATTACTTTACCAGGGTATGAATTTTGTCGGTATTTCATTTAATATTTTTCAAGTGAAATCCATAAATTTTACAGCTTATCGTTAATAAAGACGGTAGCGGAATAAGACAGGTAAAATTGCCACCAGGGATAAACATTTTTTATGTTGAAAACCGTAATTGAAGTCTAATAAAAACAAGTTTTTCGTTGGATTTAAATCAGTTTATAAGAAGTACTTAGTACATTTAAAAAATCTTTTAGCTTCTTATATAGGTTTAAATCTTTCTAACCACTTTACGCCTACAAATATTGATTTTTATTATCCTTGCATATTTGTAGATGATAAAGAGGTTTAGAAATTTCTTTCAGGCGTTTATTTTCGATTTTGACACTCACAATCAACCACAAAAGGTGAAAATAGAAAAAATTGTTTTCCTTCGTTTTTTTAACGAATACCTCATGTTCTCACGCAGATTATAAAAAGGGCAAAATAAAAGTTGTAGCCCTATGAATTCTCTACAGTTTCCCAAAATTTTAATCTTTTATCTTATAATTTGCACCCGACAGCTCAATATAAATAAAACAGTAATTTAATAGTTTTTTTATTTATTTTCTTAAAATTAGCTTTTGTTTCATGTTTATTAGAAAAGATAAATAATGAAATATGAAATTGTAAGAATAATATTATAACCTATTGTAATTTGAATATCGAACGAACGAAGATTTTAAGTAAAAATAATATGGATTTTTAAACAAAATTCATCAATGTTACAATTATTGTTACGTATTATTTGTAATGTTTAAACATACGTTAAGTAGTCACCACATGATGCACTCATCCATGTTTTCGATTTGCCAGCAGAGAATTAACAGGGCTACAATTTGTATTTAGTCCTTTTTATGATGTGCCAGAATATGAGATATTCCCCGAAACAAAGAAAATATTTTTTTTATATTGTCCTTCTTTTTTGTTGATTGCTGATTTTGTTGAAGGGTCAATATTAGATATAAAAGCCTGAAAAAGTCTCTAAAACTTTTTGTTATATAAAAAATCGCAAGGATAATTAAACTCAATATTCGTTGAAGTAATCATAAAAAGCTAAAAACGTTTTTTTTCTTAGTTTGATGTACTCTCAGAAATCCGTCGAAAAACTTGTTTTTATTACACTTCAAATACAATTTTCAACTCAAAAAATGTTTATCCTTCGGGGCAGTTTTGCTTACTTATACCGACACTTCCTTTCATAATTCAGGCCTAAACACATTGAGAACATTAGAAAGTTACATAAAGTAAATATCCGCAATACTCTCTCTATTTGAGAACATTGAATGCTTGATATTTTTAATTTGAAACTTCATTACCGTTAATGGGAACGGTCTATTTTGTATTTCTGAGAATTACAAGTACAACTAGTAGTTTAACACAACTGCATTCAAATTTGCAACCTAAATTATTATATAATTTTATTTACTGTTTATATTTCTATTAGTTTCTATCGCTTGGCGCAGTTTCTGTTCGAAACGGCAGCCTCTTTTGGAAAAGCCTCTTTTTCATGTTAATTACAATACTTGATTTGATTTTCTTTTACCCGGCTACGAAAATTTAATTATTTAAAAAAATCAGATGTTCTTATGACTTAATTGCTCAGATTCACGATTTTCTATAGGACGTGACTCTTAACTCAACGAATAGTAAGATACGAAATTACTTATCTGATAATTAGAGAAAGAATGTACAGCGCTATTCGGAAAGCTTGCATGGGCTTTGAAGAGGGCCGAGATTTCGACTCTTCCAATACCTTATAAAGAAAACGTGCGCGGATAGAAATATCGTTAGCGATCAAGGAAAGTGATCCATCTCAAATGCCATTTTTCAGAAGAAGGATTGAACAGCGTAATTTATGTCACGCTCAAAGACAGTCACCAACCCAGTTCCAAAACCTAGCTAATCAAAAGTCTAATTTTTTAAATATAAAAGATAAATATCATCTAATAATATCAGTTTACATCACTTGAATTTCAAATTGATTGCAGAACTGTAAAAAATTAGAAATAAATTTCAAATGCAAATAATGTAATAAACGATTTTAAACTTTAAAATAGCAATGTCATAAAACAGGAATTTGAGTTATCTTTTGAAACTGGGATGTCAAAATGTTCAAATTCTAAATGTCGACTTTGTAGTAAATTATCTCTATTGAATTTTTACAAGATAAATTAAGGACTATCCCCGAACCATTCTTTCACTTAACCCAAAAAGTTACGATTACTTAGATGTCACTTTTCTTGAACATCGACTATATTTGGTATTAGCTGTTATGAATGAAGAAGAAAAATTTTCGAATAAATGTCCCAGAATTATGACGTATTGAATAGTATTCTTCCCTGATCCATCCACACGTTTGGCAGCTTCCTCAGATGTTGAGATGCCACGTGGCAAGTGAGGGGAGAGGGCCGAGGAGAGCCTTGCGGGGGCGGAGTGGGAGCGAGACCGAGAGAACACGACATGGCGCCTGAGAAGGCCGTGCCGCTTCTGCTAGAGGCGATCCGGTCGCTGGCGGAGCCGCGCGGGGTGACGCAGGTACAGACTCAGATGGCTCCGGAACCACACCCATTACCGTTGCAGCGTTTCCGACTGGAACATTCTAGGTTTTGAGGTCTGCCGGTGACAGATTTTCGATACTTGCTTTACAACTAGGTCGAATTCATCCACTTTGGAGGAAAATTCTAGTGACTATCTGCTCTGATCGTGTTGCCCAAAGTTTCTCCGAACAACACCAGACGAATGCCGGATCACGGCCAAACGGGCCACGGACCGCGCGCGACATATTCTGTTATTTTCTTTATTCCTTCCTTTCCCCTTACACACGCACACGCACTCAAATGCACTACACTTCTCCGCGAGGGACACCATAGCCGGCACAAGCTCTAAGCTCCCGACTGTCCCCTATGTACAGTGAGAACGACAGAACGACACTTGCAGAGGCAAAACTACCGTAAATCGATGTGTAGGTCCGCTCCATATCTTACGTTCCTGTGTGGAACACCGCCACCTCCCTGATCATGTATGCACTACACTCACCGGACAAATAGTTCACGCGCCCAGAAACACGAAACGCTCAATGATTCACTCACTCGCGGACTCAGTCGCTCAGCATCATAAAACAAATTTTCTTTCGAAAATTCGGTTGATTGATGATTGATTATTTCGTGTTTACGGTCACATCAACTGCTATGTTAAGTAGTCCCGTATATGTAGGACATGTTTTTATCAAAGACGGTGTGCTTCTCCCCCATGATGGCATGCTGGAAATTTTTCCACAAAGTATCTCCCCCAGCGGGGCAGTGCCCCAGCCGAGACAAGTTTGATGCTCAGGTGTTCCGTCGTATGTGGTGATATAGTGTTATGTAAGTTTATGTATGATTGTGTGAATGTATGAGAATAGAATGGGGCAAGGAAGAGGATGGGTACATCGCGCGCCGTCCGTGGCCCGTTTGTTAGGGTACTGCTCCGGCATTCGCCTGATATTGAACGGAGAATATAGGTGTTGTGTTGCGTTATCGTTGGCATTTCTAATGAAATAATTATATGCGTTGTCATTGTCAACAATGTTATTTATTACAAGTCAGCTTCATGCTAGCCATCATTTATCATTGTTGCTGAATGGAAGCCACAAAACGACTACCTATCGTATTATATTTTATTTTTACAAGGAGCAGCTTTAAATGGCTTAGCTCCGAACGTGCTGCTTGTAATAATATCTGTGTTTGAATGACACGCAATAATTTTTTCATTGAACGGAGAAACCACAGAAAACTATCGATCACAGCAAACGGCCTACAGAATTCTCCTCCAGGCAGCGAAGTGTGTAATTTTGGCCATCTAGCTGAAAAAGTCCAGTTTTCAATATGCCCAGAAGTGTTATCTGGGGTTCTTGATATTCTTCTGAATCGCCTGAGGCGGCCGCAGAACAAATTCAAACAAGCACGATCTTGGGAGGTAGGTAAGCCATGAATATTGCGCCCAAAAATACATAGAGAGGTAGCTGAGAGCATTAACCGATAGCACTGTAGGATGGTGGGCCGGTGGCAGGATTTTCGACACTACTTGTCAGCTAGGTAGTTTAGCCCTAACGAATGGATTGACCGGATGCGATTTCTTCTTTCCTCTTCCTTATCCTATCCTTACTCCTTTCTTACACACATTCATTAACGTGCACTACACTACCGCATATGCCGTGATGCCGATCGGGAGCTTATGGCTAGTCCCCGTTGGGGCGGTGTCCCACTGGTGGGAGATACGTGGTTGGGGAAAACCCCGCTAGCTGACAGTAGGTCGCGCCGGATCTCGCCATTCAGGAGGGGAAGACCACCGCCACTCCCGAAGGGGGAAACATGCATTTCACTAACGGGACTAGTGATTTTCGCGTCCGAGCAATCAATGACGTATCTCGCCGCGCCGGCGCGCAGTCGCAGCTGGCCAAGTACGTGAGCCGCACGCGCCAAGTGACGCTGCAGCGGGCGGCGCTGGTGGCGCAGCGGGCGCTGCGCCAAGGCGTCTCCTCGGGCTTCGTGGAGCGGCGCCGCAAGCGCTACCGCCTCGCCGCCTACCACGAGGTGTTCGACGTGGACAGCGGCGACGACGCGGCCGGCGCGGGCGAGGGCGAGGACAGTGGCGACGACCCGCCGCCTGAGCCCGCCGCCATCAAGGACGTGGTGGAGGCGCGCGCGCGCCGCAGGCGCTCCCGCAGGCGCAAGCGCTCCCGCCGCCGCCGCTCGCGCCGCAGCCGCCGCGGAGGGAGCGTGCGCAGGAGGCCCTGGGCGCCCCGGCGCCGCCACCTCTTGGGCGACGACGAGTGACCGCTGCCACGCAACATGGCTCGACGGTGAGAGACACGGCGTTTAGAAGCCGGAGGGAGAACTTGCCCCACTCTGACTTTTTCCATTTGGGAGGGGGGGAGGCGGGAAATTCTTCATATGCCTTCGGAGGGGAAGTGAAGCTGGCTGTCCCCTGTTGTAGATTTACTCTCTGCAAAATAACTTCAAACCTAAAAGAAGCCTCTGAGCTAAATTGAAGTCTGTTTCGTCGCTATAGAAATTCCTTCTTTCTCCGAGTCAAAAGGAGTATTGGTAAATTTGCGTGGTCAGGCGGAAGAGCACGTCCAAAGGTCTAATGATTTGAGCCTCGTCACGTAAAATAAGGCATCATTAATTGATTTATAGTTTGTCTTTATTGGGACCTCGATTGCTTTCTTTCAAAACCTATAAAAATTGTTTACTTCTAATTCACATGAACTCTAGAAATACCAAGGGGTTATGAGGAGCGTGCGACCCTTATATTGCTGACTTGATTAATCTGCTCTGTATTGTTGATAATTAAAGTAATTGTTGAAACAGTTTACTTCATTCTTTTCCATAAGAGTGCTCCATAATTTGTGCTTTCTTTTTATTTTTAAATCGGCGTTTTTCTAGTGGGGGTCGATGAGACCTCCGCCCCCTTGGTAGAAGATGTAGATACTTTTTGTTGCGCCTTTAGTTCTCGAGTTAGTTTTCCATTTTGGTCTTTATAATACGTTTTTATTCTCTTCGTTGGTAATATTGTCAACGTTTGTATTTCTGTAAACGCCCTTGAACCGAATTGGCGGTAAGAGCGAGACTATTTGAAATTCAGTTCAATGATTCAAGATGTCAGAAAGATTGGCAGAAAGCGAAATACAAGAATTATTGAACGGTTTGGCATCCGATGAAGGAAGTGAAGATGAAGATATTTTAGATTTAATTGCAGAAGAGGATATGGTGGAAAGTGCAGTAAGTGTTTCTTGTGTTGAGATGATTTCTAAATCTGGAAGAAAATATATATCAGTTTCGTCGAGTCACTGCCAAATATACACTGCCAATGTTGTTTGATTTCCTTCTGGGATTACTCCTAAGGATAAAACTCATATTTTGAAAAAGAAATGTTGAATGGACAAATGAAGCAGAAATGTAGCATTTATTGGTGTACTTCTTATGGGTCTCTAACAATATAACAATAAATGTTTTTGTGCAGGATTTATGGTCAGATTTCCTTGTGAGAGCAATATGCAAAGTCGCTTCTATCAGAAACATTTTTACAATTGCTCTCCATTATTAGATTTGATGATAAGCACATGAGAGCTGAATGTCGAAAAAACTACAAGTTTGCTCCGTTTCGGGATGTGTTTGAGAGTCTAAATTCTTCACTCCCAAGGTACTTCCGTCCTACATTTCACAATACTGTTGATAAAATGTCTTTATTCAGAGGAATATGTCCTTTCAGAGTTTTAATGAAAACAAAAACAGGAAAATGCGGAATAAGAATTTTAGCAAGTGAAGATCATCTATATTTGTTATCTATGGAAACGTATACTGGAAAAGACAACAGAGAAATCAGAAAGGAGTCCTCTTGAAATTGTAAAAAGATTGGTTCAACCTATAACAAATTCTGGTGTCAATGTAACAACAGATAGATACTATACATCAATAGAACAGGCAGAAGTATGCACTGGCAGTGTTACTGATTACAGGATTACTTTTGTGGGAACACTAATGGCCAATATCAAGCATAGTCCCGAGGAACTAAAAGTAATCGTGAGCAGAAAATTATATTCTTCGAAATATGTTTACTGATATGTCTACCAACTTGCCTCCTGTGACTTCTGTCTTACATCACGAAGGACTAACCAAAAGAAACTTATTCTATCAATCCAGCATGAAGATTCACATGATGACGGCAGAAATAAGAAAAAAGTGACATAATTTCGTATTATGCTACTAAGCGAGAGGTAGAGGGAGAGTAGTTTTTTTATGAGTTAATAGGGGGGGGGGATCGACGAGCCCCCCCTCCCTTGGCATAGACGTTACCACGTATATACTGGTATTGCTAGGACTACGTTATTTCTATTGCATAAAGATATAAATTATTTTTAGAAGAGTAACTTTTATTTGAAACAAGGTTCCTCCGAGAAACTATTTCTGCAGGACGATTGCATTCTATTGGCCTGTTTTCGGGCACCACATCTTTTCTATTGACGCGGTGGTTTTCAGCCCACCTCGCTGTTCTCACCAGTGGCGTGTAGAGGACTGGGGGTCGGGACTGAGGTAACATACCCGACTCCAAAATTATTGGAGCCTGATTTTTTTATTCCAAACGTACAAAAAGTGCTTCCTTCTAATTTACATTAACCATTATAAATTATTTCTGTGAGGATGCATGGATGTATTTTCTGCATGGAGAGATAAGTTCTGTGTATGCATTGGATGAGGGGAACATTGATTGAAACCAAGACCCCCCCCCCCCGTGCATCTACTGGCCCAGACCTCTTGTTTTCGCATGGCACCCAGCTTCTCAACGCAGGAAATCGTATTAAAATTATACTACTTGGATCTGGGTGCACATCCCGCAAATTTTAAATATTTGTTTTGAAAGTTAAAATTTTTTTATACTGGAAACCAAGATAGAAATTTTCCGGTAACCTCTACTACGGGGCGAGGCCATCATCCAAAAAATTAATTGCGCTGTGAAAGTGCACCCAGCGCCAGTGGGAACAGTAAAACGCGAATCGTTTTTCCGTCCAAGTGGTTGCTAAGTTAGGCTCCAGTTTTCTTAAGCTCTTATGGTAATTCTATAACCATATTTCAGTTCGATTTGTTTTTGTATCTTTACTTTTTTCTTTGTTTATTCATTAACTCGATGTTGCTGTTGCTGAAATCTTCTGAAAATCGATTTGGATAGGTAAAAAGAAGTTCTTCCCCAATTTAAAAAATGTATTTACACTAAATACGGGTCACGCATACATGTTTCGAGGTATTTACCTCATCCTCAGTTCCCCTCCAAGCGACATAGTTCAAAGTATGGCTTTTAAAGTTGTATACTAGCTAGCGCCATCTTGTGCACTTTGTGCGCACTGTGTGCACCATCTTGCACACAGAGTGCCCAAGATGTTGCCTGCAACTACAAGTGGCTTTTGTGTCGCGCCAAAGAAGATATTGTATTTGAAATGCCATCAGTGCTTGCTGGGAGCTGACACCGTCAACTCTTGTATATACCAGAGAGGGGGAAGGAATACTATCGATGAAGGAAAGTAGCGCCGGTAATGTAGGTTGTAGCCTTGCGAATTGCATGTGCACTTGCTGTTTCCTTATACAATAATACGCCAGTTTCTTAACTTATTGCCTGAAATGTATTTAATGAACAACTCGTGATCAACTTATTATCCAGCACTTACAGGGTTTGGGTCGATATCGTCTTATACATCAAATAAAAGCTTTCCTTTGTTAGCATTTTATATAGCGAAGAATATTTGAAACAAATAAGACAACGTTGAACAAGATCATAGACGCGTTGATCATAGCAATCCTTGCTGATAGCATGGAATAGTAAAACCATGTTATTTATTTATTCAATCGTGGTAATTTATTGTGTTAAATGTGATTGAAGGGAAATTTGTGAATTTTGTAATGTTCAACGACTCTTTATTTCCAGAACTCTGCACGTCCCTGGTGATAATTTTTTTTGGACAACTTCCCCGGATATCCGCCCCAGTGAACTTTGAGGCTGACAACTCCCCGTAAAAGCTGCAAGAATTTGACGAAACAACACGAAAGATCTTCCTAGTGAGAAGTTATCTTGAGCTTCTCTCTTTGTAACGAAATCAAAAGAAAATAAAATTCTCGGTACCTATTCATTGTCATTTAATAATATAAAATAGTACACCTCCCCAGAGACTATCATTAGTGAGCAATGCGAAGTATGTCGTTTAATTACACAATACTGAATACTGCAGTAATAGTTGGATTTCAATAAGTAATGGAAACATAACAAAATAATTTATTTTATAAGATATTACAAATATATTGTGTATGTATAAGTAATACAACGTAACACAACTTCAACTTACATTATTTCCGAATTATGATGAATAATCCTAATTCTATATTGCATGATTTACTATGTAGAATATTCAACAAGGAAATACGTTTATATTATAACCTAGCAAGTGTCATCCGGTGTTGTGCGTACATTTATCGCAATAACCTTTTAGGAAAAATGAGTTGTTTGTAGGAGAGTAAAAAGGAAGTAGAAGTACTACTATTACGTATGTCTACGCCTCACGTTTCTCACCCTCGACTGGTCTAGTTTCTCATTTTCTCTTTCTGATCCTTTCCGATGTAAATAAATGAACTTTTAATAAAATAAAATTATTCTTTTCAATTCATCAAGCTTTAAAATTAAACTAATGTTTCCATGGTGACTCCCAATTTAATTTAGCGACGTTTTGTCTTTCTATTGTCAAACTGGTTACGTCGTATTAGGAAAAAATGAATTATTATGTCAACTAAAATATTCAGGTGTAACTGAATCATGATCCACATAACACAATGTTTAAATCAAATTGTTAGTTTTAAAAATCGGGACTCGAGGTCGATATACGTATTATCTGCGCACGTTTTCTTCAGCCTTCGCTTCGCTAGTACGAGATTTGCTGGTTATATTCACAAAATGAATTTTATGTCAAATTCGTATTCGTTTTTTGAAGCAAAATAGTTTCTATTACAGGGGAGCGTATATTTCTGATTATCAGATAATGTCTACACTCTCGTTGCTATAATGCTATTTTTAATTCTACTACTGTTGGAAAAGGTGTGAGGATAGATATTCCCCGGGCTCAAGAAAACGTGCGCGGATAATACCAGTACGTCCAAAAATGTAATTGACCACCTAAAGCTTGCTGGCTAAACAGAAATATCCATTTTTTAAATGTCTTATACTTGATTACATTTTTTCAACTTAATCTCAAAAATAATTTTTAGACAGCCACTAATACGTTGTTCTTTCCGAGCAAGTATAACGTGAATCTATGCTCAATGTTTCAGACAAATCTGAAAAAACAACAAAGAACACAAAATACTTTTTTTTGTGCCGCATCAGATATTAATGGCCTTAATGAACACGTGTCATGTGATTTTTATTCTTGAGTAAGTAAGGCTGCCAAAAAATAGTGTATGACACACATGGTGAAAGCAATTTTATTTTTCTCATAGGATTGCACCACTCGGCCTCATGTTGCAACCATTCCTACGCGAAAAATAAAATTTCACTTTTACCACTCGTATTATTAATAGTTATTCTCATTTTTAGCTTGAATAATAATTTACTGACAAATTACGGTGAGAGGCACGCAACAGGCAACGCCCTCTAGAAAGCAGGAGGGAATAGATTTGCAACACGGTATAAGATATACACCGTGGTTTGCAATGTGGCATCTGAACCTACTTTCGGCTAAAACAGCCAAATTTGAATCTAAGAAACCACCCCACAGAGTTGATACACATACACTTAATTTCTGTTCTAGCCGGTCGAGGTCAGGCTCTCTACCGTGGACGCCTTTTACTTTCCCTTATAGTACGTATATACGAGTATTATACGTAGTATCAGAAAATTATGTAATGCTGCAGAAATTCTATTTCGAGATTTCCATGAAGTGCACGTTAAGAGGTCCCCTGATACCCAAAAAGTTGTATTTTTCAAAACGTCCGTCCGTCAGTGAACACCACTAGCGCCTGAACTATACGTAGGATTTTTTTCCAAATTGAAGAAATCCCTTTCCATCGGGGTTGAGTCGAATCTTTGAAAATAATCATTTAAATTTGGGGGTACTTTTCATGAAGCCCCCGGACATTTTCAAAATGTTCTCAAAAGCTGTTCCAAATATTTTCTTTAAATTTCTTATAAGAATAAAGTAAATACACTTACAAAGGAGGATAGGTCCAATTTTCAGGGTTAACTCTGAATCTTCGAAAATTTCAAAAGTTTCAATTAATTCTGGCATCGTTCTTTTTTCTTGAAACCTTTGGTAGGGATACTGCTAAATGATTTCTGACATAAACACCACATTGTTCTTTTCTTTTGTTTGTTCAAAAATTACAAAAATAGTTTTTTGCTATTGTAAGCCCTGTCACACAGCTTCATTTTCAAAGGTGGATTTAATATTCCCTTTTTCATGAGGTCAAGCTTCTCGTTATAAATACTCCTTAAAACTAGCTTACCACTAACTTATATGCGGCTGTTTTCCCGACGGCCCCGGTTACAGAAGCGGCGGCCCTTCGCCCTGGTATCAGGCGGCGGCGCGGCAGGCGACTGCAGTGTCTCGCCTCACTGCTCTGCCCCTTATCAACGCGGTAGGGGCGGCAGGCGGCGTGGTGGCGACCCGAGCGCTAGCAACGCCTGGTGGCGTGGCTCACGGCAGGGGCACGACTCGAGGTCGGGCAACCACACTCAGTACCTTGCCCAGTCATTTGCCCTCGTCCCTACCTCGGAAAGACACATCTGCTCGCTGTCGCCTTCTCCATCAGAATGACCGAGCTTGTTTGTTGAACCTTTCTGTGATAAAGAGCTTCAAATTCCTAATGTACAGTACCGCTTAAGACCGAATTTCCTAAAAACGGCTCCACATTTTTGAAAGGAAATTTCCATTTAACGACGTTTGACGACGTTCTAAGTTCTTTAATAACGACGTTATTTAATATTCTGAAAATAATATTTCCGCTCGGTTTTTAGGAAACCGAAAAATTAAGAAAATACAAAAGAACACTTTTGGTGGCGATTAATGGCAGCTGACATGAATATGTTGTAAGTTTGTTTAGCTAGCAGATATCAAAGGAAATAGAAAACTTCTTACTAAAACGCTCACTTCACGGGGCCGAGGTTCTCACGCTTCTGGATGGAAGACAGTCGAGGCAAGTCGAGCCCGTGCGCTCACTCGCTATTGCTAACATTACTTCAGAGAACGTAAGTTTTCATAATCAATCTTATTGTCGTAATCAGAAACACTGGGTCGAACTAATCTCAACAAACTCTGCACATCTTTACAAGTGTTATTTGTGGTGAAGGTAAAGAACACAATTCAAGCCGACGGTGATTCTTGGTCAACGGTTGTGGTGCCGAAAGAACAGCAAGCTGCAGACTCAACCTGGAAGGCGGCACAACGGTTCCGTACTTTAAATTTAAGAGTATTAGAACATGGCACCATAATCAGCAAAGCTATCTCTTGCATTTAACGTCATTATACGTATTCATAGTTTTATTAGCTTCTTCAATAAAAGTTTGTTCACAAAACTTTTCAAAGGCACATCTTCACATGTTAATTATAATTATTCACCTTACTCCCATTCTTACCAACATTCAAACCAAATTAGGTGTACCTGAAGTGCCAGAGTATCAAAAATACCAGCGGGTTTCAAATTCATCACACTGTTACACGTTTGTCAGCCAAAATGGGATTGTGAATGCGCCGCACATTTTCAGAACATATGAAGAGCACGGTCTGCGTGGGAGATCCTGAGTATCCGCTTGCCCTTATTCACCATATAATCTGCAAGTCCACCGACCAACTACACTGCGACCAACCGCATTATCTTTGTACACACTTTTTAACCTCTTGTGAATGTTTGTCATTGCCTCGTTCTCACGACACAAGTATTCTATCACAGCTTGTTGCTTCCGACGAACGTCTAATGCAGCCGCCATCTTAGACGAGTGCTGTGAGAGAGACTCTTGCGGAGACCGGTTGAACTAAATTTGAATTCAAGCGATAATGTTTCTACAAAACCTGTAGAGCAAAGACGTAGAATAGAAAATGTTTTTTTAAGAAAATGCATGTGCATTACTTTTCGAGTGACCTTCGTAAGTGAAACAATAAAACGATTACATTCACACTCTAAAGAATTCTTTGTCTTCTGATTTAAGCCCAATAAATCTATTAAAGCTTTAAAGGAGTTTGTTGGAACGTCAAGTACGTTAGTGAAGTTGAGAAAACGAAAATATAATGTGGAATGGAATTAACATTAGAACATTGATGTTGAAAATTATTTTGGTAGTTGAAGTTGCAGTTAGGTAATAAATATTTGTTTTTAAGAAAGTTTCAATGTCTTCCGTAACTAAGGAAAGCTATAAGGCAACCGATAAACAAGATAAACTTCGCGTCTATTTCTGATCAAGAATAAGTCCACACAACTTTTCTTGAGAAGATTTAGGCGATAAAGAACAGGATTGGACGTCCAAAAAGAAAACATATGGGGAAGGGGAATAATAAAGGGGGCCTACATTTTGTCAAGAAAAGGCAGTAAACCAAGCGGTAAGACTTACTCTGCTTACATGTTTATTTATTTAATTTTAGATTGGTGTGCAATTGCATGGTAAATGGGACGCAAGCTTTAAATGATTACATGAGCAGTATATATCTTCAAATATGTGTTAACAGACAATTTTTAAGTTATCCCTATTTGTCAGAAGACATACAGGAAATTGAAGATTCAGACAATCAATTTAGTATTTACCAATAGGTTTACACACACTCACGTACCAGGAAATACGTCATGTTTGCCTCTTATCCCACTAGCGTGGGAATTTAACTAGACCCAGACATGAAGGACACCCGTTAGCCAGCTGGCAAAGGCGACCCAAAATACTACATAATTACGTACACATTTTCTCTCTTTTTCAATAATGTATTTTACAATTTATGACATGAAATAGTGTGTTCTATTTATATTCATTCATTCATGTTAAATTTAATCGAAAATTTGTTTCGGGAATAAAATCAATATTCATTTTTGAAAAAAAAGGGTAGTCCATATTTTTAACAAATGTTTAAATCGTCCAGTCCATCTGTTGAAATATTTTAATATTATCACTGCAAAACTTATTTTATTTTCAAAATGTCGACCTTAATCTACCGATCTTGATTTTAGAACAAAATCAATGTTTTTTAAATAGCGCTTAGAAAACTAAGTTAAGAGAGCTGTAATAGCACCGAGAACGTAGTTCGCAGAAAAGGGGCTAGTGTCTCCTGTGCGTCTTGCGTGCACATCACTGGCGTAACGTTCGGGCTCGCTATGCGTGTAGGCCCCGCTGAAGGGTTAGTTATTGTAAGATATATTAATTACTTCACACTTTCTCTGATACTTTGCGGTAAGTGATACAATAAAATATTAAAAATTGCTTCTTCCAGAAGAACGATTTTTTCCGCTTAGGTTGCTTATGTAACCATGTTTCTAAATAAATGTAAGCAATTCATTTATGTTTTATAACGGTCTTAATTTCATAAACTTAAACAGAGGTGGACCCAGTGACGAACTATGAGAGGGGACATTTATTTATTCAAAATGTTTTGGTCGAATTTGTCATATACAGATTATGTAGAATGACGCAGGCAAAACGCAGCTCATGTTGCGATACAATTTTATTTGCTTTAATGTTTATACGAAAATACATTTGCGTAAAATTTTGTGACAAGGTAAAATTAATAGTTACTGAAGAACTTCGGGAGGGGAAACTTCTCTCATTTTCCTCCCCGTGGATCAGCACCTGAATTAAATAATAAAGGCAGATTTTTCAACGATTGATTATTAATCGTAGACTGATGAGTTCGAATTTGTTATAGTGTTTTTTATTAATTAAGGTACTAACGCTACGTGTTTTGTTACACACTTTTATAAAAGGGTCCGAGATAAAAGTTTTGTGGGTGGGATCGCTCTCATTTCGTTACGCTACAGTTCATCATTCTTCAAATGATATTGATTCATCCCTAACGCTGTATGTGATTCACAGCCCACCATGAGTACGATCGAGCCGGTGGTGGGGAGGCCCATCAAGTCCCTGTCCTGTCTGGACATGACGCCATTGGAGGAGGCGGAAAAGCACATCACCAACACCATGTCGATGACCCGGAAAACGCGGCGAATGTCAACTTTCGCTGTGATGCAACAGGAGTCGATGCGCGAGCGACTGGTGAGCTATTCGATTAATGCAGTCTCGGTCTAAGTATAGATTGTAAGTAACGTCTATAAGGTTAGTTTAGTAAGAACCCCTTCACAAAAGATTGTAACCCATTTTAAAAGAATTCAATTGATAGATTATATGAGAGATATTACGTAACGTGTTTTATACCTTTTGCCGAAATAATGCTATAACTTTTGACGGAATCTGCAGCAGAAGAAATTAATTATACCTTCAGGAAAGCATTTGCATTTTTTGATTGATTCGTTAGTGATTACGAGCGCGTCAACTGCTAAGGTCATATTCCCGCATGTGTAGTCCCTTGTTCCGAGGAAGGTGGCGGTGATCACCTCGCTGGATGGTGAGATCCTGCACCAACACCCCAATTGGATTGTGGGTGAAAGCAATTAGAATAAGCTTGTCATTGCTAGCCCTTATTTTAGATCAGACGCTAAGGGTAACTTAGGTTCATTTCCCCCAGTTCTTTTATAAATGTTTGCCAATAATGAAAATAAATTTGACACCATCGGGTCCAAGTGATTAATTATGCATTCCATCCGATTAAATATAGAATTCCATCGACATACCCTACACATTTTGGAAAATATTTGTTTATTGTCACATTTATCTTGTATAAAAAATGCCATTCCATATTTCCAAACATTTCCTGTGAGCATAAAATTGAAGATTTAAAACTGAAGAAGATGGGCTATGATTTGTATTTCCTGATTCTGCAGCTAGAATGTACTGTAGAGGTGTGATATACGTTAAACAGTTCCCACGTGTGCAAGGCATTTCAGGACTTACGTCCACGGCAATGTATTATTGACGAACATTATGCTAAATGGGGCAAACATATGTAAAAGCTGACCAATTATTATATCCATAAATCCAGGATAAACAATAAGGTATAAACTATTATTTTCATGCTATTGAGTGGAAGATAATTGAAAAATGGTCTTGGAGAGAAGGGAAGTGGTCCGCCCCGCGCAACTGTTTGGGCGGCCGCTGATTGGCTGCGGCGGCGTGCACAGAACAAGGCGCGCGAGGAGCGGTCGACGCGCGCGGCGTCGCTGACGGGCAACCACCGCCACGTGATGGAGGCGGCCGCCTTTCACCTCAACGTGGAGCCCAAGGTGGTGGAGGACGGCGTGCTCGACTCGTGGTCGCACGTCAAGCACATGGAGAGCTTCATGGCGGAGGGCGGCCGGCGCGCCATTTTCTTCTTCTACCAGGAGTTCGACGAAGGCCCCTCTTTGGGTACGTGCAATATATCTCAAAATAAGCCGCACAAATAACGACAGTTTAACTGAGACGTGTTAAAAACGATCCAAAATCTCATTCGTACGATAAGCAATACCAAAGTAACCGAAATCATCAGGAGAGAATAACAAAGTTCAAATGCTAGAAACCGTTTCCCGGAAGATGTCCAAGAACGTAGCCGAATCACCGGAGATCCAAAAGAGTATCAATTGACGAAGTAAGCGCGATCGGCATAGCAGGTACTTAATTAATAAAGGTAGAACACAGAATCAAAGAAAGTATCACGAACGTAGAAAACACTCCTAAAACCAGCCTGTGTTCTCAGGCGCTGGCTAGCTCGTAATATAGTTGGAGCCGCTGTCTGCCCAGACCGGAACCTTCACTTCGTCTTCACGAATCACTATTGTTCGCCTAGATGGTAACAATAGTATTACAATTATTATTATCATCTTCTATATTATTTCAGTAGTATACATAACTTTTGAAGCTCTCATCCGATACCGATCCTTATAAATGGGGTATCTAATGAAAGATAATTTCACGTATACGTGACCAATTGCTATGAAAAGGAATAAAAATATGCGTGTCAAATGCAACCCGTAGCACAGCTCCAGCTACTTCGTGAAATTACCCCCAATCAAAGCGTTCGAGAACTTTAAAAACTAAAATTTTGAGGCCAAAGGCTTCAAAAAACGTTTTTCAAACCATAACCATCAAGATGAGACATTTTTGCTGGTTTGGCACTTACCGATACAACCAATGCCACTACCCTTGGTGGTGGTGATGGCCTCTTTTGTGGCGTCACGTTTACATGGCTTAGATTCCTCTATCTTATGTCCCTTTCGTCTCTACTTACTTCCTACACTCCTCTGGAGTACTGCTTGTCTGACCCGTCACCTTCAAGCTATTCAGCATGGAAGACCCCCTCTGCCATAGCTCTGAGACTCATGGTGGTCCTCAAGGGGGTACCCTTACCAACCCGCCAGGAGAGAAGGATGGCTTTAAGGTTAACTTCATATCATCGGTGGTCTGCCTCTTCTGTAGGTCCTCTTCAGCTGTTGTTTAGGATCTCTTCTGCAGTTCTTCGTCTGACGCCGGCATAGCTCTCATTGTCATTGGGGTACTCAAACTCCACCACCAACGTCAAGGTCATGTACTCCCGGAGTGTTGTTGTTGCTATCATTATTATTATTATTATTATTATTATTATTATTAATTATTTATATTCGCGTATAGGCATTACTGACGCGCTACGCGATAAACGTGTGTAATTCTCCAGATCACTCTTTTTGAGTCTTGTATTCCTTGATGACAACAAGGTTGTTACGAGCCTTGTATTGGAACTATGAATGATAAGGTAGAGATGAAGTGAAGGGACCAATCACAAATAGACCATGTCTACGTAGATCGACCTGCAGCTCCTCGGCTCAGACGACGGTTACCGCAACCGTCTATAGCCATCGACCGAAACATATTATATTATATATTAATTCATTTATATTATTATTATATTATTATTATTATTATATTATTATTATGTTATTATATTATTATTATTATTATTACTGTTATACGCGTGAATATAATTGCAGTGCTTGCGACTCGGGCGCGGGGCGGGCCGGCCGCGTGCGTGGCACTGCGGCCGGTGACGACAGCAGGCGCCTAGGGCGGCGGCGAGGCGGCTGCGGCGAGGTGCGGCGCGGGCGAGGGCGAGAGAAGGTGCGCCCGCGGCCACGTGACGAGCCGCCGACCGAAAGTTGGCGGCGGCGGCGATGCAGGCGGCGATGGTGACGGGCGTTCGACGGGACGGCAGTTCGCCGGCCAAGCCCGAGGGCCCCCGCGAGAACTGGCGCGTCGTGGTGACGAGCGGCGCGGGCGTGCCGGCGCGCGGCCGCTGCTGCGTCGCCTTCCGCACCAGACTCACCCCCGTCGACCCCAAGACGCTCATCGAGGTGAGCTCATCAGCCGTCATTGCTTTCAGACGAGGCTACGCACATAGGTGTCGGCTGCTCTGGCCGGTACTTTTCCGTCCGATCAACACCAGGTGAATGCCGCAGGAGTACCCAAACAAACGGGCCACGAACCACGCGCGATCTTTCTTTCCTCTCCCTTGTCCTCTTATCACTCCTTACAAACACACTTGCATGCACTACACTACCACACATGCCGGAAGACCAATCGGGAGATAATTACATGTACTACAGAACTCATGCTGATGCGTCCTCAAATAAAATAATCAATCTGTCATCATATCAGTCAATATTACCGGAGGCGAGATGTCTCGGGTAAAAAAGACTTTTTATTACTTATTTATTGATGAAACATATGCAATATATAATGTATATAATGTTTATATATCACATTTTAATCCACATCGTTGATGCAGAATAGTGGCACATCTAAAAAGTGTTATTTGTGACATATCACAAGACATGCGGTATAGAGTAAAAGAAGTCTTCGACTGCAAAATAAACGACTGCGTTCATATTAAATTATTCTGCAAAATAACTATTTTTGACTTACAAGTTGAACACCCACACCATACTGTCGCCTCAGAATAACACGTTTCTATCCGACACTTTTGATAACGCTTTGTGCTTAAACTCTCAATTGTCAGAACTAGACCATATCAAATCACTTTTAAAATCACACTTGTGGAAATTCTTTTATCTATAAAATGGCATGGTCTCATCCATGCATATTTTTCGCGTCTTCAACAAACACCTGCCAAATTTAAAGAAATGCTCTCCTGTAAAAATCTTAGAAAATCTTACACTACGATAACCCTAGAATCTTTTGAGATTGGCGCGCCATATGCATTGTTTGATTTTTGCACCATATCCCCAAGGTGCAGCTGACAGAGTGACGAAAAGGGGTTCATCTTGCAAAAGGTGAAGTAGTTGATTTTTTTGTACTGTTATTAGTAAAGAAAACACTATTTTTTCCACCTCCACATACTCCCGGAAGCGTTTTGGTAACCAAAGAAACAAAAAAAACGGGTATTTTTGGATTATGCGTAATAACTTTTTAATGGTTCATCTTCGCGCAAATATAGTTCTAAACAATTTTAATGGCCACACAATTCTCTACAAATTTGCTTTATAAATTATTTCTCTCAAGCAAACAGGGACAGTGCTACTAGATTTTAAAATTTAATCAAATTTTCCTTTTTATGTGAAGTTGCCTAAAATTACTAATGGTCTCTCTAATTTAATATTTTTTAATTATTCAGGTAATTATAAATAAAAATCGATTAAACACTAATGTTTTCTACACATACTGAGGTTAAACTAGCGTTTGAAATTTCAAGTAGGAGGGATAGTGGGCCTGTACATTAGGGTATCCCTTATTTTACGCTCACCCTCCAATTTAGTTCGAACGACCTTAAAACATGCATATACAACGATTTTTTGATATTGGATCATTCTAACCCGTGTTGACTTTAGCGCGAACTAGCATGACGGACAAGTCCAGACCTACCACTCACCGCTGAGAAAGGCCTGGGAGTATCAGTACATGCATTTTAATCGATCGTGTAACACGTGCTTACAGGTCGCTAATCTAACTAATGTCATATGCAGTGCTGAGAAACGTGTGTTTTAATAGGAAATAATCGTAATATATGACACCAAAAACCTGGACACAATTTACCATCAAATAAACACGTGCTTAAAGTTTTATTGTATAACATACCGCAAGTAAAATGAAAAGATAATGCAAATGCTAAATGTGGTGTTCGTGAGCATGATAGTTTGGGAGAAAGCAAGAATTCCGACAAGAGCTGATGAGCATTGTTCGCAAAAAATTATTAACTTTTACTTGGAGTGGAGAAAATTACAGAAAAACACAAAGACGCATGAAGTTATTTTTGAGCCTGGTGAAGAGGAGTTTAAAAATAATTTAAACAATCTATTTGATATTGCACATTCTAATGCTTTACAAATGATTTCGTTTGAAGAAGACAGGAAGTTTTTACTTCGGCCCGACAGAGCAAGTACGTAAAACCTGTGTTTCAGGAGTAGACCAAATTCTCGTGGATAAAGAAAAGAAGACAAGACAAAGAACAAGAAAAAGAAACGACAGTGTGAAGCTTCTAATCTTCTTTTGTATCTCCTTCATTGTCTAGAGATTCAGATTACGAAGTTCCAAGTTCAGATGGAAAATCCATGTTGGTGTATATTTAAGAGAGAGTTTCGAGAGTACCTCAATACAGAATGCTGCAAGGTGTGGCTCCAAAAATTGCATTTCCCTTGAACTAATGCTTTAGATAGATGACAGCTGAATGTAAGAGATTCTGTTGAGATTCTTCAGGCGAAAGAGAGACATTTAGCCACAAGATTCTGAAGAACTTACTATTAATATATCTCGTATTCTTAGAATCAGACACAAGAAAAGATAACGTTAAGAAAAAATTAAATCTGCTTTTATGAGTAATTTATCTGAAATTCTTAATGTTCGTTGGGAAGGTAAACTGTTCCCTGCAGTAAATATCAAAGACCCAAAAGAGTAAAGACTTCAAAGTGTTGTAATATTTGGGGGATAGTTCAACGTTTTCCCAAAATTACTGAATTCTTCGTAAGAGCACACTAACGCTGTTTGAACTAGGGTATTGAACACAAAGAACAAATTTTGTGCTGTGACCCAACTGCGTCAAATACATGACGTTTAAAAAGAACATTTAGAAACAAATTTGTATACGGAATTGTTCTTCCTTTGTCGTCATTACATATATGAACTTATATCATAATGTGGGTTTGAATCTAAAATACGTCATGTAATCCTTAACCCTTACATGCACCACATATGTCTAAGAGGCCCGGAAGTCTTTTTAAGGGTTAATAAATCCACGCACCGTACTCAGATGTTTTTCTACGTAATAAATATCTGTATAAATTTTATGAATAATGTGTTTTATATAAAACATACGCATGAGTCTTTTAGGCCTGTGCGAACGATTATCGGCTGTTATTGTCTTGCACTTGATACAGCCGGTCTCTCAATTAAAACTATGGAAGAATATAGATGAGCTCTGAAT